AATCGATGAATAACAAATAAATTAGTCAATAGATTATTCAACAAGTAAATGAATGATTTATAATAAATATGTATAAATGTATGAAATATAGCACAATTATATTAAAAAGGTAGCCAGAGCAAGTGTAATAACGTAAAATTTTGAGGGAAATTCCGGACTGTGAGACGAGATTAACGAATGCGATAAATAAAATGGAACAATGGCGATTGTGAGTTAGCTGTTCCTCGAGGAACGAGGGCTAATGGAGAATGCGCGATACAAGCCAGCCACGTCTTAGCGTCGCCATTACTCGACCAACAAATAAGATTTTATGACCCCTACGACCCATTTGCCGGGCACCGGTCATCGACCGGCTCGTTCGCCATTTTTTTCCTTTCGATTGCAAGAGAAACGCCGCACATGTGAAATGCATTATAAATATTAAGGCTCGGTATATATACACATATAATTGATTAATTGTTTCTCACTAATTGGAGGCTAATGTGGAGATAATGGCCTGTATACGTAAATCAAGCTTCAGGAAGGAGGGGAGAGGATGGAGCTTATAAATACGATGAAATCATAATTAGTCATTGGTCATTTCTAGATGAATCTCGATTGATTTATCGTCGAGGATCTTTCAAGAAAAATTTTTAATTGACGCGAACAAGTCGCGAGGAATTTTTGAGACGGATGATTCGCGCGCGTAATAATTTTTCAATATAAACCATCTTTTACAAAATTATCAAAAGTTTATGCAACAAACGAGCGTCGACCATCCGCTATTTTGACGTCGTTGTATTTTCCCCCAACGGTCCGTTATTTCCGTTCGATACTTTCCCGCGACTTTGTTGGGCGAAGAAAAATGGGAACCGGATCGGAGAAGACAAGGGGGGGAAATATCTGCAGAGGGACGGAGCCGTCGAGTCGGCGGACATGAATTTATTGCATCCAGACGAGGCGAAATCGAACGAGGGCTCGTCCGGAAGGGGTGGTGGACGATAGCGGGGGCAACGCAAGAGGGTAGCGGGTGGGCCGTGGCAGAGTGCGTTGCTTATTATACTTTCTTATTATTTATCATCCTTCATAAATAGCGATCTCGTGAGGATGCTCGTCCTCAGAATGGTGAGAGAGAAAGGACGAGACAGTGATTTATAGAGGTCTCGAATTAATGTCATTCACGTCGACGTTTTTCTTCCGCGTATTAATCCGGATACGCGATAATATACCATGTAAGTCGTATATTCTCGGCGTTTAGAGATGAATTAATTGAAATTATATAAACGCTCCATAAATTGGTTGTTTATCTGATAACGGTAATAATGATATAGCTTTCACTTATTTTCTTCGATAAGATTTTTGGTAATAAAATTCGGATTTTAGATTATTCTCTTCTATTTATTCGATGATCTAATCTACAATGTATGCGTATTTAAGAAGTTTTTGAAAATATAATATATGCAAATATTTTATCTCGAGTTACAACTTTGATTGATTTCTAAAAGGATTTGATAATTTTAATTTCCATAATACTATTATAATATATGTATAATAGTATTATGGAAATTAAAATTATCGAATTCTTTTAGAAATCAATCAAAGTACGCTTGAATCACAAATTTTATCTTACAAATATTGTAAAAGACAATTTGTCAATTTTAATATGTTACAGTATATAATTTTGACAGTTCCGCTATTTATAAAAATATGCGACACCTTTGAATTTTATATTTATATATAATTGACTTTTATCACAAGAAAGTTTTGGTTAGCAAAAATGACAATATGGCGAAGGAATAATAATTACCTTGCATAGATATCTCAAGCTAATCCAACTTGGAATCTACCAGAACGGCATACTAATTCGGGTACTTTTAGACTCGCATGACCTGGAAGTAAAACAGACGGATGGAATCGAGAATCCATTAGTGACCGATTGAAATTCCGATCTAGTTCGCTTAAGAGCGAAGTACTTAAATACTTTTATGCGAACGACGAACATCTTTCGCCATTATTATAGTTTCGTAAGAGTCCATTACCGCGTCGGCGGTTGCGAGATTAAAAATTTTCCAGCTTATGAAATGCTCTTGCGTTACAGTAAGCTATAGAATTGTATAGGCTTACTAAGATAAAATTTATTTCTAGTAAATACTTATGACAGAAATTTTCTTTTTGCTATTACAATAAAAATTAATGACACATGCAAATTTTATTTAATAATAAATGGTTGTGTTGATAATGTATAAAATTTATATAAATTAATGTAAAAATTAAAGAAATAAGGTAAATGTTTGGATTAACTTATACCGCACGGATTGTTTTCATTTTTACATATATTGTAGAGGGTACATTCCTAAGTAATACACGCTTTGAATTTTGTAGCGCTCTCTTCTGGTTCCAGAAATACGCGATTTTAAAGTTTTACAATTTTATTGCTTTTTCTCAGGTATTATAAAGTAATATTAGGAAAAGCGAAGTTTGTGTACATTGTATTTATAGTAGAGCAGACGAAAAAGTGTTTGTTTACATTTACGAGATAGGTACACGGTCATGAATATTTTGTCAATAATGTGTTTCGTCTATTTCTCGCAGTTCGTTAACAGCTTTCAACATGCGACTACATGAATTTCTGAGGTTTGGGTTAGATTATATCTTCCGGAAGTGGAGCTCCCCATATTATGGAGTAAGTTAAATATAAAAAAATAACCAAGAGTAGAATGAATTTTTAAATCGATGTCAGATTGAATGCATTAACAGTTTCTTGCGCGGAGTTGCGGCGAATCTCGTAAAATCGGAAATTAGGGGGTGGGAGCCAGGCCGGTGGGTGGCGATGGCCAGGTATTTAAATGGATTCAATTTGGAACGGTGCCAGGCAGACTCGTGCCAACCGTCGAAAGATGCTCGTAAAAGATGAAACTCTCGGCTCGTCATCGGACGAATTAATCGCCATTCGACAATTAATCTCGGCGAATCGAGTCGCTATTAAAGAAATCGCGATGCGAGATCGATAAACCATCCGACTTAAAACGATGGAGAATCGTGTCGGATTTAATGTTTTTCACATTATGTTTCATTAGCAGTCCAAGCTTTTAAAAAGTAATAACTTTGATTATATTTTATGTGTATTTCATTAATATAAAAAACAATTCGTATCATATTTAATATTTAATATTTAGTTCATTTAAAATTGCTTTTCCATTACTTTTTTAAGGGAAAGAATTTAAAGAAAGATTTTCGTATTTTGCCGTATCTGTTTTTCCGCGTATTCTGTTTTTCCTAATAAAAATAAGAACTAATTTTTTCTTGGTAAAAAATTTTATAAAGTTTACTTTTTACATAATACATTTTTCTCGATTTATTTAAACACGTTTAATTCTTTTGTATCGTTGAACGATGCTGAAATTTTTTTATATCACGGTCGTTCTTTTACATGCTTACTCGCCAGTATTACTCTGGAAAATTTTTTGTCATAAATATTTCAAGCGGCATCGTGTCGACTTGGGAACGCTGTCCGCGTCGTTTCACGGACGGGCGACGACATTCTTCGACGTGACTTC